ATATATATATATATATTCACCTTTTAACTCACTTCCCCGATGATCTTCACGGCGTTTCGGAATGGATCGCAAGGTATCTTCTGTTGCTGTATGCTTGCGGAAAGCTGGATGAGATAATTGAAGTCTCGAAACTTGAAGAGGAGCCTAAGGGATTACTGTGAAAACTGGTTGCCTTCCAGGACGTCCAGAGAATCTGCGGCTTTATGTTGATGACGTTTGCACTGTCAATTTCTGTCTAAACTGTTCGATTGAGTATTTATAGGTCTAGAGATGTGGAGTGCCTGTGTATCTCCATAGGCTTTATTTAGATAGGCTAGTATGGTCACCGGTACTCTACACATGCGGTACTGTCAGTAATGGTTTTTCGCTTCATACATGGCGCAAGTAATGGGGTCGTGCATTTCGACCAGATCGCTTTATCTAGTTGTTTGTGGTCTACCAAAGAGTAACCGATCAAACGGTACAATTGCGTCCATCTTTACGGGTTTGTTGCCTTGGTAATTGGGTCATCTGTCACTCTGGTTTACTTTGGGTTACGTGGTGTTTTGAGGTGACTTGATGCATGAGCTATGTTTAAAAATGTAGTGAGGGTGGCGTTCGAACACCTTCAACTCGCTTTTCGACATTTGACTACCCTAACCTAGTCCCCCACTCCAGTGAACCAGTAGGTTCTTCGGTAGCTATGTCGCTGTTAAGCGGCTCCGGTATATTATGTCTCACCAGCGAGGGTTGGATCCACAGACGTTTTGTTTAGACTCTTTCTCATACAAACCCATATGAATTATCTTTTCTTCTCTAGATTTCCGCGTATCTTTTGAGGTATTCATTTAATCTACTTTGAATGGTTGTACACCAGCGAAGCATCAGTGTCAACACTGATGTGCTGTCTTTTTCATTTAATCTACTTTGAATGGTTGTACACCAGCGAAGCATCAGTGTCAACACTGATGTTGCTGTCTTTGATGATGTGAAAAGCCGTGGATGGGCTGTAGACTCATGAACCTGATTTGAATTCGTAACTTTTGCAGAGACCGTGTGACGGGACAGGTGATATCTTCCATTTCATTCACGTACTCTTGCTTGGCAGAAATTGAGGAAGAACGAGGACGAAAAGGTTTTGAAGTGCTCGTGTCCCACCGATTGATTCCACTTGTACTACATTCTTGCTGGATATTTTGGAGCGTACTCAAATAAGTGCTTTTGTTCAGTCAAAAGGAGTCTCAGATGGTACCCACCAAACGCTGTGAATCCCCAAAAAAGGTTATACATCGTCTAGCTGAATAAAGGCCAGTAACCTATTTCAGCAGGCAACCGGGTCAAATGAGGTTTCCTGCTTGATCAGTACGGTTACCGTGGTTCATAACAATGAATTCGGATCACTCTGCTAAATTATCTTGCCTATTAGAATCGGGCTACAGCTGAGATTTCACTCTGGCGGTTTCCAATCCCTGTATCGGATGCCATGTGCTTGTTAGACCCACATTTTAACTCTGACATGTTTGGTGCATTTGTGCCGTCAGTTGATCGTGACCTGAGACGTATACTCTGGCAATAAGAACGAAAGCAGAAGAGACGGAATAGTGATGCCTAACTTTGTCGCTTGTTCACCCCACACGGTGTATAGGTGCTAATCATAGTTTTACTCATACACTGACCTCAACCACTAGATTTCATCATTCCCTCTTGTATTGTCTCACTAATAAGCCACGCGAACCAACGTTACCGCTGACAGTACACCGTAATCATTCATAACCCACCATTAAAGGAGCTCCGAAATAGCTCCTTCGGGAAACTGTGGACGGAGCATACAAAGCACCGATCTTATAGATAGCATTGCTTTTGGAGGAAAAAAGAATTTCGTGTCTTGAATATCAGCCCAGCTGGACTCAAGACGGCCTAAGTGTTGTATGCGCGCCTGGAGAGCACCGTAGACGAGCCGATTCTCGGCTGGATCTCCCTAATCAATATGCAAATGAGGGAATGTTGGTGGCCTAGGCTTCGTGGTTAGTTGTTATTCTGTTCGCTGAGTTTCGCAGTTGTTTTTCAGGTGTCTCCACATGTCATACTGACACCATCAGTGCGCATCGCTGTTTAGCAATGCTTCGGTGTGTAAGCTAGTTTGTAAGTGAGCTGTCTAGTGTTTGTTATTGTCAGACTACCCACAATCGCATCAGAGCAACTGGGCACGGAATACATTGCCGCCATCAGAGCAGTAAATCGATCCAGCCAATGGTCGCTGTTGTGTTACCCTCCTCAAGAACAAATGCATGGGACACACTGGGCAAGGAATGCACCGACAGCTGGAGCGAATATTTCTGCCAGCTAATACACTCGGTCAAGCAACAGCTACAGCTGGACACCTCTTGAGTTTGCATTCCTTCGAGTAGCCAACTGCTCCCACTGATACCATGGCTACTGCAGTTTTGCTGGCGACAACAGTAGACGTGACCTGCTGACCTCCCAGTCAATCGCGGTTGAAATACGTAATTGGCTTCGATATAGGCAGTTCCCGTTTCATCCTGCTCGCAATAAGAATTCTTCATTCCTATAAAATCAGTCTCAGGATGGATGATAATATGTTAAAACATTCTCTAATGTGTGAAAGATTACTGTTCACTGCTCATGAGCTGAGGTCGCATTGTGTAAATAAGCAAACACATGGCTGGATACTGAACAGTCGGTGATTCTTGTCCATCCATTGTCAGTGTAAAAATTCACTGCTAGCATCCACTGGCCACCAAAAACGGTCTCTTATAGGGAACGATTTCTGCAAAGGTGTCAATCATGCTTATGGGAACGTTGTCCTTTTTAATTGAAGGTTTGCATGTCGTCGTGAGATGTTTTGTACTCTGAATTCACTACCGGTTCCAATGAAATGAGAAGGAGGGTGGAATTTGCCCCTCTACACTCGAGTTGCTGGTGTAAACCTGAGCAATCTTTTCACCATTGTTGGGAAGTGGCGTCCGCATTGGACATCTGACGAATCAAAAATTGGAATCTTATCATCTTTGGGTCTCGAAGACCAGTCTTACGTGAGGGCTTCAATTTCATCTATGGAGTGCAGCTGTAGACCTTCCTGTAGCCCAGATGTTCACTAATCGATAGAAGTTACCAGGTTATTTGGCAACAGGATAATGGTTCGAATATGCGTTGTACGGAGGAAGAATGCGTGCTCGTGTGTTTAAACACCCATTAACGAGTCACGCAAGTACACTGGCGTAAAATTCGTAATCAATGCAGAGGAGTGACTTACTCAAGTGCGACATAATGTCAATGTGACTTGGTGTTCGTCCCGGCAAAAGAAATCGTCAATCTATCACGATCCCATCCTTAGTTATTGACTTTTTTAGAACAAAACGACTGCTTGTTGTTCGGCGACTATTTATTGTCCTTTGCCCATTGTTTTTTCATTGATGTGCTTCTATAAGCATTGTCCAGGGATCCCGTCTCTGATAACTGGGGTCCACCCACCCACGAGCAGCCGTCTTCTGTTCGACTTGGCGTTGATCAGTCTTCATCCAACCGTATTCAGCAGCCTAGTCGTCCCGTTGTTCCACTTGCGTCTGATTTTCCTAGTCTTTCCAACGGTCCATCTGCTAGCCAACTGAAGTCATTGTCAAGTCCTCTGCCTTCATATACCGTGCATAAAATGCACAGTGTCGACAAGAAGTCTAATGGGAAGAAAAAGCGCTCAGTTGTGCCACCATCAACTGTCGAATATACAGAGGATTCCTCACCTGGTGGCCTCAGGACCAAATTGCGTCAACAACGCAATCCCGACATCAGACACGCTTTGTCTGTCAATCCGCTCACCACCGTAAGTCATCGTTGTTGTTCTACCTGATATTTTGCTTCACTCATTGTAAAGTCATATCCCCCGTGAGGCACACATCTAGTCGGGCAACCTAACTGAAACGTCTTCCTTCGAGGGGCTTGAAGCCAGTGAAGGCGAAAGTCTTTCGCTACAAGGATTTGTAATTTCATTCCCTCTGTGCGACATTTTTCAGTCGCGAACCATTATAAGATGAGTCGAGTGGAGGGTGACAGGCTTTGTGACATGGGAAAACTACATTAAGTCGCTAAGCTACTCATGAGTAGCCAGGACCCTGTGTGTATTTTCCGTCTAGTTTGTGGCTTCTGTGAACATCTGAAAGCACATCCTGTGGTGATGGATCTATAGCAATAATATGCCAATTCCCATGATATTCCAGGGTAAACTTTCAGACGTTCTTCTGATATGATCCTCCTGTGTCCCCGCACAACTTCTTGTTTACGGTCACTAATACAGCAGAACCAACAGGAGACCGTCGGTCATTCGCGATCAACATTTCCATATTTTTGCAAGGAGACAAACTTGTTTTAAACAGCACTTCACTTTTATCAGTGATCATTCCACTACATGTGCACGATGACATCACTTTCACTGTTTATTTCGTTTGTCTCGGAAGGTGTACACCGGCCAATGCATTCGCTCAACCCTGGTCACGGTAGATTCGCGTTTTGTGCATTGAGGTTGCATGCATTCCACTTTATAGCGTCTAATTTTCTGCTCACTCCATATTTCTCAGTTTCGTTGTTTGTTCTTGAACAAGTATTCAACGAAAACACGTTTTGTGTGTCGCGTTCACATTCCTTCTAAAAATAGCTCTTGGAATGGACATCGGATCGCAGTTGAGAAGCGGGCGTATCTTCAAAACTATTCCGCCGTATCAGGTGTTCTTGTGCCAGCTTTACTTACGAATAACGTGTTACCGCATTCCTAGAAATGTCACTTCAATACGTGTTAGGCGGAATTCCACACGAATCCCGCTTTACCGCTCGCAGTCAGGTGCTGCTACGGCCGAGAAGCCTATCCCGCGCAAGATTGGCCAAAAATTCGGCACTCTTGCCGGTCCGGCATCAAGCTGAGTCTGATTGACCGAAGGTCCGAAACCGCAGACAATCATGACCCAGTATTGGCTGAGCACCGGTTGTCAGTGGCGCATCCAGAATTTACAGAAAGTTGTTGCAGCTTACGCTGTATATATGAAGCGCTGTACAAGTGTTCCTGACTTTGGCTTAGGCGTTGATATACCCTTTGTACTTCTGGCGGTTGTTTTGCCATGAACGCCATCTTGTGAGGCTCAGACCGGCTGACAAAAATACCATTACTACAGTATGCACAGAAAACGAGAACTAGTCGATCATTAGACCATGAAACAGATCACTTTTAGAGAGAATGCTAGCCAAGACCATCTTCTAGGACATCAGTTTTCTTCCAACTTATTCAGTCGGGTGATTCATACGTCAGAACTCCGTGCGGCGATGTTTTCCCGATCATTCTTCTAGACTATTCGTACCTGGTTTACTGAAACCCCTAACATGACTGCTCAAATCTACAGGAAATATTTGCACCTATTGAATATCGCTGAATGTTTCTGCAAACTTATAATTCCGTATGAAGTTTTCCGTTGTGCTCCATTTTCATGATTCCGATGTCCCAGTTGTTCACCCTTCTACACTTTTCTACAGGCGTTCATTTCTGATTGCTTTTTTGTTCAGTTGCACTAAACCAAGTTTAACCCTACTATGCGCCTATAAGCAAGTTCACCAGTTTAAACAGCTTGTGACTGCTTAGTATAGGCTGGTATCCCCTCTGTGGATGAACAGAACTCAACAACATACACACATGTAACTGCCGGTGTACTTGTTTCGATTCTCGATGGAGAGAGACGTGGGGGTTAGCTATTTGATACTGGCACGGCACATGCATCCGAACAGAATTTTTCCATTGTCTTTCTACTGATTTCGGGTCGCTGCGTTGTTCAAAACAACTTGTCTACTTGTGATCATTCGCCACGATCTCCTTCTTTGACGCTACCGTAGGCTTTACTATAATTGTGCTCATACCACCTTATGTTACCGATTGACGTCTTCTACGGGTCACCCTACCGCATTTTTTTCTCACAGACTGACGGAGATAATGCTGACAATCGGTCATCATTCAGTCATATCCAGTGTGCTGACTCACTTCCTCGACCGGCGCCATGCGACCAGCCAAGAGCCCAAACAGGGCCCACTCCTGATGAATTTCCTTCATTATCGAACACTACCAAACCGGAGAAAACCGCAGTTAATGGACAACAAGAGACTGCGAAAGACAAGCGGCCTGCAAAGAAAAGCTCTGTCGCCATCAATCCGAATAAAGACACATCCAGTCCGAAGAAAGTTCCCGACGGACATTGGCCGCTTCCTCCCAGTGGTCTGGTTGATACAGAGTGTATATTGTATGCTGAGGTACATTTATTGGTTTAGTGAGTATCACCGAACAAACTGACTGTAAAACAGTTCTCCAGTATCGTGCGAGTTGCGTTTGAGTAGTTTGACGTGTTTGAAAAATTTGCGTCATGTGTTTGTTTCCTGCCCCGTTTTACGTTAAACTAGCGTACACGTGGACGCTTTACCCCCTCTTATGAATTCGTCGACTCTGTTTTGCCACTTGCCGTGTTATTTCAAGTCACCTTACGCCAGTAGTACTGACAGTGATAAGTAGGAGTAATAACCATTCAGCTGCAACACTCTTTCGGTGCCTAGTTCAACGCACGAGGGCAGATGTACTGTCAGGTTCCCTAAGCCTGGGCGGAAGCAGTTGAAATGTCGCAGTTGGGTCGAATCACGGACCTTCCGGCCACTAATTTTGCGCCTTAACTACTGAGTTATCTTGAGCTATTACTCTTTAAAGGTAGACGAAATTTGACGGCTTCTCTTAGCTCACACCAACCCGTCCATCTTCACCCCATGTTTCTTCTTCCGACACAGGCAAAGTATGTACCTCCTTTGGATGCAGATATTCGCAATCGAGACTTGATACGCACGGTGGAGACTACTCTGTTCGATCTGGGTGGGAAGACTACATTCTCTCGTTTTGCGGATCTATCCCGTCGATACAGTCACAGACAGTTGACCGCTTCTGCATATATGGAGGGCCTTTTGGGTCTGTTGTCTGTCGGTAGCGGGAATAAAGGTAGGTTTTTGCTTAACCAGTTTGTAGATTGAATAGAATCCTGATGAGAATGTTTATTTCCAGCCCAAAATTATGTCACTGATAATATCTTTTCCCTACTGTTACAGACTCATATTGTGGTCAGAAGCTGTATTCTTAAGAGACCAAATCCACCAATCCACCTTCCGTTTGCAATTCTTGACCCTAGTAGTGATTTTGCTTTCTAAACAGAAGTCGGGTTCGAACCCGATCCCTGTCTGGGCTTGGGCGACCTGACAGTATCCCAGCCCTCGTGCCTCATTCGTGTGGCATGGCAGCTAGGCACCGAAGGTCGCTACAGCTGGACGGTACTATACGACCAGGTTTAGAACATTCGCGTGACCTGTATCAACCGGCTCCTAAAAATCTACCGGTCATCCCCACCCACTCGAAACCTATTAAGTGCCTTTGTGCAAAATATTGCAGTTCGAAACCAGGTAATACATGTTAGAATGCCAAGCAGTGCATTTGTCTATCAAATCCTGAGTAAGGTTCGAAGAGTTCAAGTAACCGACCGAACCATCGTGAACCACCATCCTGTCCGCTGCGGTAGGATTATGAAGAGCGTAGAGTGTTCGTTCTAGACACACCAGATGGGCCGACGTTATGCGACGTCATAACCGGGCGTTCGTCCTACTTTGGCGGCCACGCCCAGGCAGTCAATTTAGCCTCGCTTGACACGCATCGAATGACAGTTCTTCACGATTTCACAGGCTTTGCTGTCCGACTGCGATTTGGTTTACTATGACCTGTGGCAGTGGGTCACAAGCGAACGTCTTACATACGGAAGCTGCCAATTTACGTTCTATAAAGTGGACATTTTTTACAGGGGACTAGTCACCAGTCTGCATGTAATTGAGCGTTTGATCCGACGAGGAATTGTAAAACGTGCGCTTTCGGTAAGGCTTTACAGTGTAACGAAGGCAGATTCACATGCATTTGAGTTTCTTAACACATTCGACTCATAGATTGTTTTGTTTATTGTTATCGTCAGCGACGGTTTTTTAATCTCAAGACATACTGTGACCCTGGCATTCTAGTTCGATTTGGATCAGTAATTTTTTTCGGAAAGGTCCGTTAAATCTCATGCACCAGGAGTTTTGCTATACGATCTTGAAGTGGCTGTCTGCGGCGTACCCCTTGAAAGTCTTGTTAGCTGGAGTTTGACTGTTTGCGCGTAGAATGTACAATCGGTTCCTCAACAATTAGCATGTCTAGCACCTCCTCTTTTCCTTTCTTTTCTCGTCCACAGATTCCATTGATCCGCCACTGTGGATAGCACCAATGATTGCCTTCCTCCCTGATATTGGTCTTCAACGAGCACTTTTGCGAGTGCTCCAGGGTCAAGGGGCGCCCAGGTTACCTCCAGAATTGCGGCAAGAAGGACAGGCTAGTCGTCGGGCCCGCGAGCCGCTTGTTGCCCCACCAGTTTGGGCGAAGCAAGTCGTTAGCCTGCTGCAGTGTTGTCGGACATGTGGTCAGGTTTGTCATACTGCGACTTTTCTCTGGCTTCTTTGTGTGTAGAAAATACTCGTTGGATTCTTTGGCGCGATATGGCCCCGCATTACTCACAATAGTATTGGCGAACATGAAATTTTCGCTAACGTCGGAAATAGTTCTACTAGACGTTCTACTTTGTAAATGTAGGCATTAGTTTTTTCTTCACGCAACACAGTACTAATAAGGTTTCCTAGGACTCCTCGACAGTCCGATTTCACCGTTCTTAGGCCCAGTCTCCGAGTGACCGTCAATTTTATGTTCTACTCTAACTCAAGTTAGCCTACAAACGAGTGTATTTCGCTAATAAGCATAGTGTATTTCTCCGCCCACATCTCCCCTCTCAAACAAAATGCTGTCTGTTAGTAAAGCATCGGTGTCTACGTTGATATTGTAGCTGTCCATAGCGATGACTATTGCAAGCGTGCTATGTGCCCACTAGTCTGTTAGTTTAGTCATTCTGGAAACTGATACCAAGGCTAACACTGATGTTTCATTACCGCACAAAGTTTCCTTCCAAAGACCACACAGTGAATACTAACCAGGACACGCCATTCCCTATTCAGAAAACGAGCCACATATTGCAACTAGACATCCACCACTCTCTACCGTACATGAGGTGGACTGAACACTGACTTCATTTCCTGTGCGGAGCTGCCCTCAGGTATCACTGAAGATTATTTGCACTCAAGGGATTACTGTATTGATGGACTCCATTTTCTGATTACTTTTATGTTTAGGTCTGTCTACGAACTGACTTCACTCACCACCATCAGACTGTTCACTCCGAAGCTTGATCGAGTTACACCGTTTGTTGGGTGCTCAATAATTCGATAGATCTTCCGATGGAATTGTGAGCTGTAAATTCGACTGGACGTGATCTTCCGGAGATCGGACTACTTCATTTCCACCCCGGCTGCCTTATTGCTGCGAAGCTTGTTGTTTCTTTGTTTTCTGTGCTTATCAGTATTTCTGATTAAGAAGTTTACTGACCAACATTTCCCCCAAATGGTATCAATCTTCCTGCATGTATTTGCAGTTCAGTCCCCTATCCTTGTTATCCAATTTTCTTGCACTCGGTGCCAGCAATACACTCTTCTCTTCGGTGCGAATTCTACTCAGGATTGATTGTGAAGTTGATCCAATCAGTATAGGTTGTATTGATTGTTCACTGGGTGGTTGATAAATATTCTAGAGCATACTACTTCGAATGGGGTTGCGCGTTCTCAGTTGGTCTACCAGAGTCATCTATTGTTGAACTCGCCCTGGTTGCACTGAAATCATATGGTGCCTGCTGATCTCTACCGACCGATTTGTTTTGTCCATTTTCATATTCTCAATGGAGCGGAATGGGTCTTGTCTGTAACACCATCTTTCAGGTTTCAGTGTGTGAATTCGACCTTTTTTCCATGTCACTCAGGTGCAGTGCTTTTAGGCGACTAACTCCCATGCAACCCAGTCTGAGGACTAAGGTACTGTCAAATCGGCCATGCGTTGACAAAAACCACAATCTAGAGGTTCGGATAGACGTGGTCCGTTCCCTCATCTCGAACCGTATATAAGTAGAATTCAAATGCTACGTCACCATGGGGCGCGATGTTTTTGGTGGAGTGAACGTAGTTTGAGTAGGCTAAGGTGTCCCAAATTTCTCTCCCTTATGAGGGCACTGTATGCTAACTCCTGTGGGCGTGTACGAGTATACGGGAAGCTCTCGCCTGAGTTTACCACGTCCGGTGTAAGCCAAGGCTTTCCTCTTTCCCCCCTCCTATTCCACTCTGTACATTGATATGGTGCTTGAATTTTCTCTGCCCGCCTCTGAAACCTCGGGGGTCGAAATCCCCAGGGACGTTCCCTCATAGACATTGAGTATACAGACGATATTGCTCTCCTTGGTTCAGATCACGTCCAAATGCAAACAGTTTGAAACCACCTAAATAACTCTGCCGCATGGTTTGGCATGCGCTTCACACATGAAAAGTGTAAAGTGCTTCTACAAGACTGGGTGGGATCAAACCCACATCTCATTCTTTCAGGTGAGCCAATCGAGGTGGTAGATAAATTTGTTTACCTGGGCATCTGCATAAATTCCGGTAGACTAGCTGGAGATGAGATCATTTTTCGAATCGGAAAGGCCAGGGCAGCTTTTGCCAACCTCCGAAATCTATGGCGCCGACGTGACGTGAGTTTGTCTGTCAAGGGAAGAGCTTACACTGCGTTGGTGCGATCCATACTGCTCTATGGATCGGAGATGTTGGCTCCGCGCGCAGAGGACAAACGGAAGATGTCAATGTTTGATCCTCGGTGTCTCCGCAGCATTGGTCAGGCCTGGATGGACCATCGGATTGGTAATGCTGAGGTACGCCAGATGGTCCTAGGAAGAAGGAAATCTCCCACGATAGATGAATTACTCACGCTTCATAGGTTGCGCTGGTCGAGGCATGTACTCCGCATGCCAGAAGACCGTCTGCCTCACAGAGCTCCTTTTACCCAGCCCTGTGCTCAGTGGAAGCGACTGAGAGGTAGACAGTGTATGAACTGGCAGCGAATTAAGAAAACACTAACGACTAAACTAAGTCGGGTGGGCAACGGCCTGGATTGATTGGGACCCCGGGACTCCAATCAGCGGTGGTTGATGGCATTGGCAGAAATGGCCCAATCGCGCAGTCAGTGGCGCTCATCAAAGCTATCACTGGCAGCGAATTAAGAAAACACTAACGACTAAACTAAGTCGGGTGGGCAACGGCCTCCCTGGATTGGGACCCCGGGACTCCAATCAGCGGTGGTTGATGGCATTGGCAGAAATGGCCCAATCGCGCAGTCAGTGGCGCTCATGTATCAAAGCTATCGCCTTTAATGCGTAGCCTCCCAATTTCCGAACAAACTGAATATTCTTTCGCCTCCAAGGCTTGGTTGTACATTGCACACCCGCGCTTTGCGGTGATCGAAACCGTAGCGGCTGGGACCAATGTGCCTATGGTATACGGTTTATAGCTGATAGATAGATTGATTGAGTTGCTAGATAAATGGCATCTTATGAATCATTCATGTCATGACGGTCAAACAAAACGCTCTATCCAGAGAATGGCGGTGGCCAAACCTGTGGCAAGTCTTGCACTCTCTCCCAATGTGAGATGACCTCAAGATTAGTCACCTCAATCTCAGTGCTGTCACTGAGTGTTCGCAGCTTACTGAAAATACCACTGACTGGATAGAGCTCCACTTCGTTACCACTTGTCTTTGACCGCCGATCCACCACGCGCTGTTCAATGATGACTTGTTCAACAAAAGGGTCAGACCACTGTCCACTTTCTCGGGATGGGTACCCGAGACAAAAGTCTGTTCCGCTCTGAGCGCTGCTTGCACTGTGGTGCCAAAATCATACTGGGTTGAATTGTTTATTTGATTGTTTGCGGGTTGGTGCAGGTGGTTTTTTAAAACACTTGATCATAAATAGCTTCACAATAGCTTCACCATACCGATCGGAACAAATCAGTATTATCGTCATATTTTGTTTGAGGGTTTTACAGCTCAATGATTACTATTGTTTTTATTTCCGTTGTTGATGTTGAAGCATCTTAGTCTTTGGCCTTTCTGCACTTGAGGATAGCCACGAATCTAGTTGGACCTGTTAATGACAATGCCCAAGTCATGACACTTGTATTCGACAAATAGTATTGCCAGTTAAAGGCTAAGTAACGCGGAAGAGCAAATAAATTTGTAATGTACTACCCATAAGGTTACTGAAAATCCGTTGACATCCCACGGTCGGTTTCGCCCTTTTTGTGGCTCATCAGGTAGGCGCAGTCCCCGGGTTTCGTCAACCTCATGTTCTACTTGAAACCGAATAGCACGAAATTAGCGAATATACACTCATTTGCGAACTAATTTAGTTTTTAGAGAGACTCACCTGGAACCCTGCTGAATCTTTCGTTTGTGATGTTTTCAGGCTAATTTCGTGCAATTTGGTTTCAAGTAGAACGTAAGGTTGACGGAACCCCGGGGACTTCGCCTGGCTGATGAGCCCCAAAAAGAGCGAAACCGGTCGTGGACTGTCGGCGGAGTTTCAGCAACCTTATGAGTGGTACATTACAAAGATCTACATGTATCGCGATATCTCGAATATCGTAGCGACTGAAACATGAGGCGGCCTGGTGCAGCACATTCAGTTGCCTGAGAACATCACAAACGAGAGTTTGCAGATGGGAGCAAATAAATTTTTGCTCAAAGTGATGTACAGAGGATGCTGTGCAGCTGGTGACGGACGATGATGGTGACAACTGTGACACCACTTTAGCACATAGCTACCATGCTCCCGAAGGACGCCTAAGGGCTGATGTACTTCCAGGTTGGCCAAGCCTAGACGGAAGCAATCAAGATGCCTGTGGGTTTTTCCGAACCACGAACCTTCTGTTCAGTGACTTTGCGCCTTAACCACTGAGCCATCCATGGCTTTAATGATGGTGTTCTACTTTAAGGTCTGTAGCAGGCGCAACATCAAGGCAGAATTAGTCCTACAGTTTCTTATCGGCCAACCCGGTAAAAATATGTATGTACATAAATATAAGGCGTTCAGCTGTAACACTTTCGGTGCCTACCTGTTATCCGGAGGAAGCACGAGGTCTGGTGGACTACCGTGTTAACCAAGCCTGGACAGGAGAACTCGAGAACCCAGAATTGGGTTCCATCCATGGACCTCCCGGTTGATTGCGCCTTAACTACTGAGCTTTCTCGAACCCAACCCAATCCACGATACACCTCAAGCTGAATGATCATTCAGCCGCACAATACCCTCGCTTCATCTCACTTTGCTCTCCCATCAGCGGTTCTTTTGTCAACTATCCCTGTTTGGTCATTTAATTGTTCTTTACGGTATCCATTGGCGTGGAGTGGTGTCACAACATTGAGCCTTGAATTGTAACTTTCTTGACGATTTCCGCACACTCTCCTTAGGTCAAAGACTGTGCCTTCAACTTGTGAGGCCAATGCAACCGCTTGTGAAATACACTTATGGATCTTCAGAATACTCATAGCCCTCAGACTACAACCTGCGCGCATTTGTGTAGCTTAATTTGCCTATCGTAATTTCACTACGCTACGGTTACTGGTTTTCGGTTGATTGCTGTGATATTTTTGTTTGATGGTCATGCTAATACTACCTTTCCATAGTCATTCGTGCAGTTTTCAGCTGACTGTTTACTCGATATACTTCTTTTGGCTGTTTAACAGATTTATTATGACCGGACGAAGGCGTCCAAAGTCCGTCCGCAAGGCTCGTGCGCTTGCGGTTGCACGAGAAGAACGTTTGTATTCAAAAGAGCCGCACAGTTTTGTGTTTGCGCGACCAGGTGTAGGAAATTTGGTCAAGCAATTATCCTTGGATATACGGCGAGTCTTCGAACCGAACACAGCCACACGACTGAAGACACATCGTGGAAACGTGCTGAAAGATTTTGTGGCTGTCGCTGGTCCGCTGAATGTTTCGCATCTGCTCTATCTGACCCACCCCCATGCGGACAAGCGAAATGAGAAACGCGCCCGACAACTGGCCAAAAAGGCTCTGAAAAAGTCAGAGACTTCTCAAGCTCAAGTTGAAAGTAAGTTTTTTCTCTCGGCGTGTTTGTACATTTATTGTTTTTTGTGTGTGCCATCATCTACTGACGGCAAACTCATCAACGACGTAGGCTTGCTGAGAGCCGGCCAACAACCAACTGCCCCTTTCACTCTATTTGACTTAATCAGTTAGGCGGTGCTCCCGATTGCACTTGAAATCTTGTGCCTCGACGTTCAGAAATCAACGAAGACTGACGTCTAACATGATATTATCAGCCGCCAGCGAAGGTGTATCTCATTGTTCTGGTCCACCGCAATGAGGCATTTTTAATCCCTCAGTGATGTAGCTCTCGTGATGGCGGATGTTGCAATCTGCCACCTGATGACTAGAAAACGGTTGATTTCTCACTCGAGGAAGGTGCAGCGTTCCGTCAGCTTCGACGACATTCGTTCTTATCGTCCACTCTGAGGAACGTCCTGTCTAGGCTTGAACAACCTGGAAGTATCCCAGCCCCCGTGCTTCCCTCGGGTGGCGTGGCAGCTAGGCACCGAAAGGGTGTTACAGCTGAACAGTAAGCTAAGTACCCTGAAGGACGCTTTTTTCGTGAAAAATCCGAAGTGGCACAAACCAATAAAGGGGCTGAATACTGACTGCCGAACTTAAAAGGTAAATCTTGAGAATTCTGATTGCCCTCTGTACAATGCATCAGTTGAACAGTGTGCTCTGGGGACGCTCAGAAATCAAGCTCACCCCGAAAGTTCACGCATACAGGACGGCTGGCTATCTGGCTGGTACTGCCACATGCATGTGAAACCTGATCCTCAAAGTTACTGATTTTCACAGTTTCGAGGTATTTTGATCACTGGTATATTACAGGCCAACGCTGACATCAAAGCAGTTAATTCTTCAGACAACAGACGTGCGTTTGGTCCTATATGAATGAAGTTCCGGCTGATTCCATCATTGTGTGCAAGATGCAACTGCCAAATGTGTTCTCAGCTGAAAGCCCGAGTAACAATGATGGAGGCTGATGTTTATCCTCTAGGATGACAAGCAGTCTGCAGACTCCATCGGTGTTATTGACATTAGTTGACCATCTGCGCGCCTATCTTGCTATGGATCGCCATTCGTGAACGACAGTGCTCTGTGGTATCATCGGAAGCGAGTCCTTACCTTATCAAACACTGTCGTCAAAGTGAAATAGTACGTACTTAGTTTGACTTCCAAACTCGGGTCGTTGTGACCCGCCCTATAGTTGTCTGAAAGCTAAAATACATTCCCTCAAATGTGTACCAGTAGAGTTCATGCCCAAACCTGGTGGATGCAACCGCTTTGTTTTCACACGTTTCTTTCGGCTGAGAGAATAGCCAATTCGCGGGTCGATTTGCGCGAAGCTATCATGGATACACCAGTTCGACTTGTATAAATGTATCAGAAGTGACACAGCCTCATAAACAATCTAGCGTCCCTCGACTTTTCCACTTATCTGCACACCAAATTGGTTTTGGTGAGAGACTCACCTGGAATGGTATTCTTACCCAGCTGAATTTGCCTCACTGGGCGGCATCATTTTTTATTTCTATAAAATTTAGTGCGATATCAACTGAAACATGAGACAGCCTGGTGCAACACATCCAATTGAGTGAGAACATCATCAACAAAACATTCAGTTGGGTTCCTGGTACGTCTCCCGTCAAAACCAAAGTAAGAGTATAAGTAAGAGCAAGTAAGAGTAGGTAGGAGCATAAGTCAAATTTTTCACAATTCAGGTTCAAGTAGAACATAAGATTGACGGAAACTCAGTGACTGCGCCTACTTGATGAGCCCCAAGAAGAGTGAAACCGGTCGTGGGCTGTCGAGGATTTTTCAGAAACCTCAGGATTAGTATATTAAACCCATTGTTCCGTTTTTAGCTTGGACGTGGGTACAAATTCCTGAGACTTATGAACCGGAGGTAGTAAATTTCTGAACGTTGGATATCTGTGAGATGTCCGCGGTTTGTTTACAAGACTTACGGTCTCTGACCTTACCTCTCAGAATGAACTAAATGTTTAGCACATCTGAGGCCCTTCTCTGATTCTTCATTGTCCACTCAATAGGTTTGGTAAATAAAGGTTTCTTTTTCGAGTGTGCGTATTTTTTTCATAGAAATCAAATCTCTACCCGATCGGGACTCGGACCACCCAACTGGCGGTGGTGTCTATCTTCACCTCGTCAGGGCTCCACACGGTCCCAGTCTCACATTCTCTGTGGTCGAGTACAGTCTTCAACGCGATGTACTCACCCTCGTGCGCCGTATTTTCAATTCGCATCAGTACAGCACTCCCCCACTCCTGGCAATGACTGGTTTTGGCTCTTTGAATCCGAACGCAGAGCCTCCAAAACAACCCCAGCCTCCTCCACCACATCTTCGTTTGGTGGTGGACATGTTTCAAAATATGCTGCCGTCACTGAATGTACAAAAGGTAAACAATATTGATCACATGTGTATGCGCTTGCCCGCTTAAACGGATCAACAAATGGCAACCCAACCCGCTTTAGAATAGTTCGCAAACGTTTTCTGCTTAGTTTTTCAGTTTACCAGCCCTAATTATCTCCTGGTTTCCAGAAATCACACTTCAGTGGCATGTGAGGCTCTTAATCTACCAACAACCCTATTCAGTTGCTTGTTTCTTTATAGCCTCTTCATGTTCGTCCTGAATATTGCCACGATCCACTCCACTTGTTTTCATGTTCGAATCAAAATGCACTATCGCGTTCTTTCTTAGCGTGGTTCTTTGAAAAGCCGACAACGAATCTCAACTAGTTATGGTGCCTTATTGGCTCAAATCGTGTCCTCGGCTGCGCAGTGCAATTTCATGGTCCTTCTATACCCAGGGGTCAACTTTAAGCAGCAGACAGCTGTACTGACCTAAAGGTGTGTGCCTCGAGCCCAACTGTGGCATCTCTACTGCTCCTGTCTAGGCTTGAGCTGCCTTGTAGTATGTTACCTTCCTGTGGCACAGTAGCTATTCACCGAAAGGGTTTTCACTGTTGAGGCACTGTTGCTATTATTAGTATTCAGACGGCTGTTGCACCCGTTGTGTCACATGGCTGGTTTGGTCGTGTTATACCCTGACAGCTCGTCCGTCGCTTTCTGCAATGTTTTCACTGTCCAATCTAGTAAACATCGGCAACACAGGTTCTTCTAGCTGGTTTTTTCTACTTTTTCCCAGCTGAAACTTAGCACTGTTCGTCGGGTACTGCTTATCAGTCGCGAAGTGGACTTATCGACCACCGCCGATTCGACAAATCCGGATGATGTCATCTATGTTCGTCACTACCACATCCGCACTGAGAATCGCAACGTCAGTCGTGCCCTCCGGCGACTGAGCGTGGGCGGGACACGGTTGAAAAAGCGAAAATTGCTCAACCCAACCGTGAACGGGGTCCCTTTGAATCCCGGACTAGGTCCTGGGGGTTCTGGGAAGTCCTCTAACGTGCCCAATTTGTCAAAATACTCATGCATAGAAGATTTCGTGACCAAGTAAGCACAAGTTGCGATTGGTTGAGACTTGTCTTTCGTTTACTGTCCAATGGGCTGTCCAAGTTAGTTATTTTTCATTCTCACCCGACTAATTGTAATAATCTGTGGATATTCGCCCCCTTCTCATCGGTGCTGATCGCACTTCTGGTCCTAGCTGTCGAAGAGCGTTGTTTTGAACTCTTTGGAGAAGTTGTCCGTCTTCGGATGGATTTCGATGTTATGCCGCATTTTATTTGTGGGTCTCCATCGCATACGACATATTAAATTAGTTGTTTGAGGTTCTGACACGATTTCCCTTTTCGACGTACTCAATATGTACCCGTTCCATTTGGTCATCATCAATCACGAGTTTCGCACCTTTCTCCAATCGTTGTGACATAATCGCGTCTGTTTCTGTACCGTTCCACGATACCTGATTCAGATAATCAGCAAATCCTGATGAAACGTTCCTCCTATTGGACGCTGCATTTTTTCTGATGCAACCTGTTAGAAAATCGTACGCTATTCCCAACAGATTACCTATTAGCTTGGGCTAGTCCCTATGACTGCCACACTACCAAACATCCTGTTACACTCGGCTGCTTCTCACATTATGTTAATTTTTCGGTAAAACTAGTGTGTTTCTGTTTCTACCACCCCAAAATTATCCCATATCTACCACGCACGTAAACTTACTATCTATGCGAATTCTGTCTAATGAGTTAGCAGGACTTATGAGGGACCAAAAGTATCGTCAACTAACACATACGTGTGAAAACAGTGGCATATCTGTTGGTGTACACACCCCGGACGAAAAAGGACTGTTTCTTCTTTGCGCACACAATGTTCAGTTTAGCTTCAGTAGTGAAAGATACGCGATGAGGCCTTCTTTGTGTCCCCTTCTGACAGATTTATGCGTGGGCAAACATGAAACGCGATAGCTTAGTCTTGTGATAACGGGTAATGCCTCGGCTCAATTCTCGGTCTGAACCTTTTGCGCAAAAAGAATCACCAAAGGTAAAGAACGTGTAATAACACCCAAAACCAGGTCACAAACACATTTACAGTGCCTCGTACTTGAAGTATGTGAGGCGACAACATTCTACAAATTCAGACGATTCCTGAACGGAGCGGATACTGAACCGTGATTGGCTGTTGGGTCCACATTTTCGACCAATCAGAGCTCGCCTGGGTACTGGACTGACAAGCGGCCCAGCCTTCTGGCCAGTAACGTGTGGGTTAGGCTTATTGTCCTTAGCAGCGTTTAGCTGCGGGCAGTAAGGCGGTTTTTGTGTGGGATTCCGTCTAACAACTTGTCCTAAGATTAGGTTTGCGTGGCTGTTGCGTAGATGATACATCTGGACTTACTAGTGAAGTGTTGCACATTTTCAGTGCAGTTGACGTGTGTTCGTGCAGGGCACGGTAGTCGTACAATAAGGCGCTTGTCAGAACAAATGTGAGAACGCGATTCAATGTCGTCGAATGACGGGGACGGAATGATAGCCTAAATACAATTGCGTCACATCGGCCGAAACTGGTCATATGCAAAATGTCCTGAATCGATCGAGGCCGGCACGATTCAGAACACTATCGATTTCAGGTACCTACGTCTCTGTCGGCAGAAGAATTTCATGTGAACTGTGAACCTTGGTTGGCCTACGGGCAGTATGTTTCTACAGACTGGCGTGGTTCATTTAACTCCGTAACCCACCAGCCCTCCTTCCTCCCATTTCACACGATCCTTGAATGTTTCTAACCATATATGTGATTTTTCCCATAAATTCGTGATTTATTAAATAAAAGGGACCTAGCACAGATCAACCACCAACCCTGACTTCCAAGAGTATCCTCGCCTGCCTAATAAATGATCAATGTACGTAGCTGTTTCGGATAACGTTTTCATGACTGACCATCAAACAGCTGTTCACTCTTCGGAAGATCAACCAGTCACGTGACTTTATGATACCAATCACATGGACAAAACCACGTTTCGTGTCAATGTTTGGATCTTTTGCTCACTTCATCCACATTACTCGTTGGATCGAGTCGACTCCGTACTCATTGAAACACCCATTTCTCTCCCATAGATCCGGAATGCTTTCGGACTCGGGTCTGTCCGATGCCCTTTCCGACATGGAGGAAGTTGAGCTTCCAGCCAGTGTATCCCTTCCCGGTAGTGTTCCTGGATCTCTTGATGGCTCAGCCAAATCGCGAAAGCGTAAATTTGTGCCATCGCATGGATTGCGTCATTTGGGCACGGCTAAGACTGCTAGCATCCGACTCACGGAAATTGGACCGCGTCTAACCCTTCGGCTAATCAAAGTACGTCTTCTATTCATGTTTTTCAGTTTCTGCTTCGTCCTGTCTCACTGCTTGGTGTTCAGGTGATTTACTTAATGTTGCCAGTGATTTGTTGGGACTCGATTGCCGGTTGATGTTGGCCAGGTGAGTCTTAATCTGCCAGTCCGATTCTGTGAGTGCCTTGTTTCTGACGGACCCGTGCTTAGGAAGGGCGACGACCTTCCAGACGACCTTATTTAAGTAGTCAGTTGTACCGTACAACACTTGTGTCGAGAGACACCTATCACATACGATTAACTGATGGTGAAGTTTACTTAATGCTTCCTACCACAGTTGGATGAATTTTGCAGCTGCATCGCTTGTGCGCTGGTTTCATGAATCCTCCAGAACCTGATGTGTCGGATACCTTTCGTTCACTTTAACAAAACAGCAAGATGAACAAGGTTGCTAAGTATCATCTCAAGTTAATTTCACCAGTCGCAAAATTAAAGCGCAGTAGGTAAAAGTCATGGCAACAAAGGACTGAAGACCAAACGTCATACTAGGTTTTGCGACAATAGTTGGGGACAGTTCCAGGATAGACAGGTGCGTTTCGTGCACGGTGTTGTTTCTTGTATGTGACCAAAATCACTTCATCTATAGCTATTAATGTTGATCTTCGATCGTGCAGTAGAATCTTGAAGGCGTGAGAAGTTTGGACTGCCCGGCCTGTTTGACAGATCTCCATCCCCAATTACTTATCACTAATGGTCAACCGTTGTTTCCAAGCTGCATGATTGGAAACTGTCCGCTCAATCGCTAAAAAAGCGCTAGTCCGTTCTGTGTGTATGTGAGTGTAAGTACAAGGGAATCGGTATGCAAAGCGTGCCGTAGGGTGCTTGAGCAGTTCCTTGGATTCGTGTGCTTAAAGGGAACAGACTTTGCTAGGCAGCTGAGTGTGGTTTAAGGCAGATTTTAGTTTTATTTCATGTTTTCAATGTGCTCACCACGAAATAGTGGACACATTAGGGTTTCTTAGGAAAATTACGAACTACATCCGACAGTTCTTTCGGTTTACTGTGAAGGATAACAAACCTACTCAGGCAGCCATTCTCGGTCAGCGTTGTTTTTGTGGTCCATGTGTTTCCCACTGTCTTTACTGGGCCTCACTTGAATGCAGTGGGCAAGAAACTGTTGGAATGTAGCCGTTGGCCACTCCGTGTCTGGTGTGGCCTCATTTTGTCCCATAAAAATATCTAAGTACCCTAAACTTTCATTCAACTCAATCTGAAGGGACACTGGAAGGAAGAAAAGAGAGATAGTTATGATCAGGGAAAGATTCAAAATTTTTCCACATAACTTTTTACGGATAAAGGCTCAAGTCCCTAATCTTCTCCTGAAACACATACGAACTTAAGTTGAATCCGATGAATGTCCTAAAAAAACGAGATTCGAGAAATACACTCATTTGCAAATCAATTTGGTTTTCACGAGTGACTCAACTGAATCCCTCGTTTGTGATATTCTACAACTGAATGTCCTGCACACAGGCGCCTACCTGATGAGCCCCAAGAAGGGCGAAACCGGTCGTGGGCTGCCGAAGAGTTCTCAGCAACCTTGTGAGTAGTTTCCTTTATGAAAAATGAGATTGTTTTGTGCGTGGAGCAGTATCAGTTGTCCAATTACTTCAACTAGTGAACCTAGTGAGGCGCGATGTTCGCTAATATAATCACAGAGACAGTCGACTCTCTCCGTCAGTAAACAGGGAATCAGCGTCAATGGGAAACATTTATTGTCATTGTCGACAGAATGAACCTGCTGATACTATGATCGCATTTTGAACGGATGAACGCCTTTAAATAAATAACGCACGGAACCCGTCAACTCGTCTCTTTTCGCAGGAAGCCATGGTTTGTGGCTACGAGTTTTATGGCCTAATGTTAGCTGTCTGTTTCGCACGAAGTATTTTCACTTCACGTGGGTTTCGACCCAGGTTCACTAGTGATCCGGCTTAGTGATATTGCAAGACACAGTTGTCAATACAAGGCAGTAGCCCTTTTTTACGTCCAATTCCTATCCATCCTTTGGAATTTCGGCGGATTGGTGTTTCCTTCATCTAGCTTTGAACTCCTGTTCCTATAGTCGCCTTGTACTCATTGTTTAGTTCTGTGAACGCCTATCGTATTATGCCTTGTAGAGGTCGAGCTATATTTAGTCCCGATTAAAGAAGTGTGGATCGAAGCTTCATTGCAACGGTTCTATTGCTCTCAACAGTCAACGATGATTCTGTTCAGCGGATCAGATGTGAAACCATACAGAGTTTATTTGACTTCCTCACTCTGTAGGTCGAGGAAGGCTTGAACACAGGCGCAGTCCTCTATCATCGATGGCAGTCTCGTAGTTTGGCTGAGGTCGTTAATCAGTCCGAGCGTCTTCGCCAGCGAGAGGCTTTACGTTCAAAGCGTCGGGCTGAACATGAAGCCCATCGGGCGGCGAAGGAAGCAGCGCGTGAAGCGCATCGCACTGCTTGTATAGAAGGTATGCGACGTGCTGGCCAACTACCTGTTGAAACCTCCTCGCACGGAGAGTCATCGGCATCCGAAGACGACACTGTCCACAGTGATAGCGATAAACATGTGAACGTGACTAAGAAATCCACCATCAGTCTCAATACAGGGAAGGCCAGAAAGCAGAAACACAAACGTTCGGTTGTTGCCGCTCGTCGATCAAATCCGGTAAAGATTAAAAGTGAGTTTTACTGTTTTTCTCTCTCCATCCCAAGCAGTTGCTTTTCGAAATGGCTTTTAGTTCTTGTGGTAAATTTTGTATGTCGCCATCAACTTCCTTGAATTGCTAGAGTTGCCGGACACTTTATTCTCTTTGGACTACTTTTTCAGTCAAGTTAACTTACATATCGCTTTTAGATGTTTTGAAAGTTTCTCCTTGTGTACGCAGTTTCAGGTGCCTTTACTCTAGGAGTTCCATGCCGACTGCTCCTCTGTACGTTCTTTTTGCTTTCTCAGTTCACTTGTTACGGTGAGCCTAACCTGTAAATATCGGCCGTCCCCACGAAGTGATCTGCTGGTTGAGCTTACCATTTCCATATCACAGGGATAATATATATTTACCAAAAAAGTGATCGAGCCATAAGCCGCATTCATCCAAGCACTGAACCTTCCCATCTGCACGAAAATGCAGGTTGCTCACAACTCAATCATTGCCACTAGTTCTATTAAGTGCGCCTTTTAAACTCCCAGGAACTAGGGAGACCGGTAGAGTGTTGGATGGATGAGAGCAGTGGAAAGGCCAGTCATAGGCTCGGCGATTAACCTACCGATCTCAGTAGGTTCACGAACTGCGTACACCCCGTCTAGACAAATCGAAAGGACAACACGACACTAGTATGATATCATAAAGCATAACACATAACTTCAAGGATGTTGAATCGACGGGCCGTTTTAATATCTCCAGTCTGACGCTTTATGGTATGTGTAACGCATTGGCGTCAATGAGAGATGAAACCTGTCCTAAATTTCCGTCACGCATAAGTTCTGTCTTTCATCAACGGCAACTAGAAACCGATTTTCAATAGATGTTTCATCCTCTCAGTGAAGCCAATCTATACTGAAAAACCGATGAGCACTGTACAGCTGTTTCTGCATCTGCAGTGCGCATCTCACGTGACTCAGAATTTCTAACATTCTAACATGTCTGACATTCTGACCAGTGGCTGAACACCTAACCGTTTAACCATGAGCAGCTGGTCTCCTCACTTAGACAGGACATAGCACCACTCACCCTCCAACCACGGTAACCAAATCACGTGGTCAATCACTGATCGTCCACTGACGACTATTTGGAAGGAAGTTTCACTCATCTTGTGAAAGTATTCTTCCTCTGAACTAATTATACCTTGATGGTGTGAAGAGGTTTGATCATTTTCAGGTGAGATTTCATTCTGCCTGTGAAGCTGATAAGCAACGTACAGCTGGATGTTTTGTTGACTTAGCTGGGCAATTTGATTGCAAACGTTTTATCACCAATCGTGGTCGTGGAGCAGAATGGGCAACACCAACCCATCGCTACGCACCACTACGCACTCTAGCAATGCAATCAAATTGCCCAGTTCAGCGAACAGACCAACGACCAATGTACAGCCGTCTTATCGCTGTTAGAAACCATCAGCAGTGCACATCTCATGAAACGCAGAGTTTCGAACCCGCAACAGATTCTTTACTGCCGTACGACCACGAAAGGTTGTATGGTATGGACGACTTAGAGTATTGTATTAATAATAAAAGTAATAATCGTTCATCTGTAACCATTTCATTGCCCAGCTGCCATGACACCCGAAGAAAGCACGAGGGCTGGGATACTGCCAGGTTGCCCAAGTTTAAACAGGGGAAGTCGAGAGGCAGAGGTCGGGTTCGAACCACGGACCTTCCGGTCGGTAAATTCGCGCTCTAACCACCGAGTCATCTCGCCCCGCTTGCCCATATCCAAGCAGGCTAGCAAATCTTCAGCTCGCACTAACGTGTGTGGCGTCCTACTTGCTTTTTGGTTGTTTATTGATACCCTAACGGTGGTGAGACCTGTGAGGCCTTGGGGGCAACGACGTGTGGGTCTGAGCAAGGTTCCTAGTCTCCGACGTCGATGATTCGATTCCCATTCACACCGCTTCTTAGAGTGGTCTAGAGCATTTTGTATCGCAGCTCATTGCTTCTAGTACCATTCAATCATTAGCTATATCAACAATTCTCTAGTCCGAAAACTAATACTGTTTCCGTTCTGTTTAACTTTCCAGAGAACAAATTTAAACCGAAGAAAACAAACCGCCCGTGATTTTTGAGTGAACGAAATGAATTGTAAATATGTTTCGAAGTACAGCTCATTGGTTTTTCAGCACACGTCTGCTTCTCTCACTGGATTATAAAGTTTGGGTTTTCACGCGGAAGATGATAAGGATTGTCGCGTATTTTTTCAACACCCTAACGCTTACGCCTTCGAAGCATCGGTGTTGAGCAATGACGCTGTTCTGTCGATGATGATAATGACAATGTAGCAGCCATTATCATTGGTGGGCTTGTTGTTCCGTCCTACGCGAGTTGCCGAGCGAAAGTTTGTTTGCTGTTGTGTGTTTGGTCCTGTGTTTCATGAGAGACGCTGTTGGCAATGTCGTTTTATTCAAATCTTCTGCTCAGAACTGTCCATGACCGCTGCTGAGGTTGCTTACCGTGGCCCCACTTGTTTTTACATTAATTCTCCACCTTTCTGTTTCAACTCTTTATTGGGCCATTCTTTTTTCTTCGTGGGTGCATTCCTGCGCTACCCTGCTGCTCTTGATGATGGTTAGGCGACAGCTGTACTCGAAATGTTTAGTCCACCTGATGAGAACGGTGTGAACATAGCTGATGAGGCGCCGACCTCTTCTTCACTCTTTACAGAGGGTGAAACGTGAAATTTTACGCCTGGAATATGGTGACAACGGTCGAAATAAGCATAATGGCTTCAAGGTAGCTCTCGGTCACCCGAGATCCACTCCATGAAATTAATGTTTTTGGGTGTGGCCTCTCAGCTCGATCTCATCTCACCGAGTGCTCGCGTTTAGAGCAAAACAACTGGGGCAACTAAGTACTTTACTATTTTCGATGATGACTAGTTGACAGCATGGGGATTGCTATCTGGAATTTCGAACCCACAGTCTTCAGTTTAGTTGCTGCACAGTGCCATTCGACCACGAGTGACTGATCTACCGCATTTACACAGGACCTGACGTCGCCATCCTTCAGTCACACAGTCCACGTTACTTGATCCGTTGTTGGTTAGATTGTGGATTCGGGTTAAACTCCGTTATCAATTGTGATTTTGTCCTGTCAATGAAGTTAATCTATGCTGACTGGCTGAGAAGCACTGTTTAGCTGTATAATCCTTACTGGGAATTATCAGCAATGCGCATCTCACGAAACTCCGGGGGGAAGGTTCTAACTCGCGACCTTCTAGCCAGTGGTTGAGAACGTAACCGTTCGGCCTCAAGCGACAGCAGAATGAGTAGCTCTCAATTTGACGAGATGTAGCATCGCTCTTCCCCCAATGATATGGAACATCACGTGGTTACCTATTGACGGGCTCCTCGAGTGACGACTTCTTATGACGAAGTTTCACTCATCTTATGAACTTATTTCGTTTTCGTCAATAGTCCTCCACTCGCACTTAGGCAACACTAACTGCATGCACAAGAAGCGTTGGCAACCCATCTACACGTGTCTCTTTCATTGTTGCCGTACTCGAGGCCAGCTATTCTCAAGAGGATAGTATCTTTTCATTAGTGGAGAGGCTGCATGGGAGCAATATAGGGTCACACTGATGATTGTGTATGATTCGGTTAGCGTTGCTGTACCCTTTAGCGAGATGCCTTTTTGAATTGTCATGTGTCTACGATCCACGTGGCACTCCTGTCGCATTCATATGCATGTGTCTTCGCTCGCTGCAATAGATTTGTGTTTCGTACTTTTCAGCTTTTCTAAACTCACCCACATGGCTTATGCATTGTTCGCGCGTGTTTATGCACATTAGTACACGTATCCAGGCCTCTATCAATTCGTATTTCTTAGCTCCGGGTAGGCTTTGCATCACGACGCCATAATAGAATGAAAACTAGTCAAAAACCAAAGCCGACTAAGTTCCTGGTGCGTGGTTCAAACGAATTTGATCACGCGCTGCACTGCAAACTACTTTAATCCAAAGTCCGTGCTCTAAAAATTCTGTCAGTCGTTTTGGAGTCAGAACGATGCATAATAACGTCATTCCGTGTTATGGAAAACGTTGGGCTTTCGCTCACTGCGTTTTCAGTATCGCATCAAGTGGCGAACGTTTTAGGTTCCTCCAACTTGGTTCTAGATATCTATTTGGCTGCTACTTTCCTCAATTTGTGGATCTCAGACTCTTCAGCTAGTGACCATCAACCGAAATCGCTAGTTTTCACATCTGGTAACCCCCAGGTGTAAACTAATACGGGTGAATAGGTAACGAGGTTCTGCATGTGGTAAACTCCTGGACAGGCTGGACACTGAGCTGTGCCTCACGGACAATGCTCTTGCTGGATGAATTAAAATAAGCTAGGGAATTTTTTCAATTCTATGCTTATTGTTGTGATCAGTTGGACTAGAGGGCTCTGTGCCCTGATGCTGTTTGTTCGTTCTACTCTGAAATCGTCAGTTTTTAGTTCTCCTCACCGTTGCGCACAATAACAGCCGTACAACCAGTAAAAAAGTCCTCTATGGTGAGCATATAGGGCAATGTGTTTCTGATAAGACTTTGTGCCCTTCGAGTCCAACCTGGACCTTACATTGCTTTCTGGTCTTGAATAAATTGACAGTATTTCCTTCCTATTCTGCTTCATGGCTTGCATCATGATCACGCCCCCAAAGGATTCTTCAACGGAATAGCTTTCTTGTACACAGCGAGTTCGATGATATTCCCAGTTGTGATAGGTCGAAGCGTATTAGTGCACTGCCATCGAATCAGCAATCTAGACAATCTATCCTATTTGTTTGACTGTTTTGAGTTCCTGTCCTACACTCACTTTGTCATTAGTTCTTGAATTGAGCGCCTTATCGTTGATATTGATTCTCGTTAGAGGCATTCCTTGTTTGGTTTTGGCGATTTGTCGGTACTCTGATTTTTGTACTGAAGTGCTTCACCTCTACCTTAGTGGCGTACTTATTCTTAATCTAAGGCCCAATTCTTCA